TACCTTTCCTTCTACATTGTTTGCCTTCTTACTTTTGATGGCACAGCCCCGTATCTCTGCAGTAGGCAGAGAAGCCTTACAAGTTAATGCTATGTCAATTCTGGAAGAAAAGTCTAAACTGCTGGGAAATGAATATTATGCTTCTGCTTGAAAAGGAAGGAGGAAAAGAAGGGGGAAAAGAGGTGTCAGGGGGAGAGGGCTGGGATAAAATTGGAAGCTGCACCAGTTGTGAAGTGCACTGTGGATTTTTACAACAGGATACTGTATTTTTCGCTCCATAAGACACACCTTTCCATAAGACGCACCAATTTTTTAGGAGAAGAAAACAGGAAAATATAATCTGTTTTCGTCGCTCCATAAGACGCACAGACTTTCCACCCCCGTTTTGTGGGAAAAAAGTGTGTCTTATAGTGCGAAAAATACGGTAATTTATGTGATTTATGTGAACCACTATAGAGATTTCAGCAGCCAGAAACCAACAAGGTCCAGTCTAAGAAATTTAAAACATTGCTGTTGTTTAGTAAGTCCTGTCCGACTCTTCGTGACCCCATGGACCAGAGCACGCCAGGCCCTCCTGTCTTCCACTGCCTCCTGGAGTTGGGTCAAATTCATGTTGGTCGCTTCGGTGACACTATCCAACCATCTCATCCTCTGTCGTCCGCTTCATCTTGCCTTCACACTTTCCCACTTTCTTCACACTTTTCCAGGGAGTCTTCTCTTCTCATGAGATGGCCAAAGTATTGGAGCCTCAGCTTCAGGATCTGTCCTTCCAATTTAAAACTAACCCAGTTTAATCCAGTGTTCCTATCCTGTGCAGCTGCACCCTAACATAGACTTAAGCAGCAATTTAGCATGAACTCAATAGTTTTAAAAACTCTCTTACTTAAATATAACTGAAGTAGATTTTGGGGTACACTAGCAGTTAACTAAACCATTAACTCTTTTCTACTAGCTTTCCAATTTCTGCTATCATTTCAAACAGTACTGCATTCATAACATTCTATTCTGACATTTTCAAAACTTTCACTTTAAAAATAAATGACAAATCCAAATCATATTTTTGAAATACAAAAAGAAACAGTGTTGCTAGCTGTGATGTTACTTTTTTAAAATAATGATATTAGCAATATTATGACAAAAGAAGTAACAAGACAGAGACAATGTTGCTCTTTATAACATGTTAGTTCCCAACTCCGGAATGCAAATAAAGTTTGGTTCAACAACCTCAAATCAGATTAACAAAGAAATATTCAAATAATCCTTTCCCACATTTCTTAATAGAGATGTCATATTGCCACTGCAGGATTACAGCTGAATATTAAAAAGAGAAAAATTATGACTGCAGAAGAACAACACCGTTTTAGAACTGAGAATTTAAAAATTGATATGGTCAGAGATTTTGTGTACCTTGGTTCTATCATCACTCCAAATGGAGACCACAGGCAAGAAAACAGAAGACTGAAACTCAATAGGGCACCAATGACTCACAGAATCATAGAATAATGAAGTTGGAAGGGGTCTGTAAGGCCATGAATTCCAACCCCCTGCTCAGTGCAGGAATACAAATCAAAGGATATCTGCCAGGTGGTTGTCTAAATTTCTCTTGAAATTCCTCCAGTGTTGGAGCGCTCGCCACCTCCCGAGATCATTGGTTCCATTGTTGTACTGCTCTAACAGGAAGTTTTTCCTGATATTCAACTGAAATGTGGCTTCCTGTAACTGGAGCCCATTGTTGTGTGTCCTGCACTCTGGAATAATCAGAAACAGATCCTGCCCCTCCTCTATATGACTACCTTTCAAGTATTTGAAAACTGCTATCAGATCTCCCCATAGTCTTCTTTTGAAGGAATTAGAAAATATCATTAAGTGTAAGGAGGTGTCCTTGGAGACCAAGATAATCCACACTGTTGTATTTCCACAACAGGTAATCCGCACTGTTGTATGGGTGTGAAAGCTGGACAGTAAAGAAAACTGAGAAGACGAAAAAAATATTAGTTTGAAATGTAGTGCTGGAGGAGAGCTTTGCAGATACCCTGGACTGCCAGAAAGACGAACAAGTGGGTGCTAGATCAAGGCAAGCCTAAACTATCTCTGGAGGCAAAATATTGAAACTGAGGCTGTCGTAATTTGGGTACATTACAAAAAGGCAGGACCCTCTGGAAAAGAAAACCAGGAAAAATGGCAATCATTCATTCATAGGATTGCCATAAATCAGAAGGAACTTCAGGGCATGTAACAACAACAACAACATATTGTTACTTGATAACCCAGGGCAATTTGGGAATATTCTTCATATATATCTGCACACTGTCCTTAGGTTTGGTGTGGTTTTTTTTGGTCTGACCCTTGGAGGTATTTTATTTAAAAATGCATAATGCTGATGACTCAGACCAAAAGCACCGTGCCGTGACCTGCAGGATGCTATTCAAAGAGGAGAAACGAAAGTTTGCATTGTGCTGGAGGCAAAAGGCTGGGACCACAGCCAACACAGGGGAAACTTTCACTTCATCGTTTCTCACCACCTGCATATGGTGGGCGAACCTTGGGTTTTTATAGCAAAAAGCAAAGTGTACTACTTCTATACTGCCCCACGGTGCTTAAAGCATTCTCTGGGTGATTTACAGTTTAAGTATGCAGGTTACACAGTACCCCTTTCCGTGACCCGGGTACTCAGTTTACGAACCTTGGAAGGATGGGTTGTCAGAGCCCACCTGCTTGAGTCTGTCGGGATTGAATTGAAATCATGAGCAACACCTTGACTACAGCACTATAGTTTAACCACTGTGTCACAAGGATCCTAAAGCAGGACTCAGCAGTCAAGAATCCACCACTACCTCCACACTTGAGACTGGAAAAATAACTTTTTGGATTGTAACTCCCTGAATCTCCTAGCTATCAGTGGTTTTGCGGACTAGGGGATTCTACAATTTGCAGCCCAAGAAGTAACTTGAACAAGCACTTTATACTAAAGACCTGCACCTCATGAAATTTCCAGAGAAGTTTCTCATTCTGCCCAAATCACTATCACTTTCAGGGACCTCTGAAAATGAATGAAATATTTTGGGCAGAGGTCATTTGGGGCCTGCTTTATTTGTAGTATATGTTCTGTACCTATGCTTTCCTGCTTTGAGTTAAACTCTCTTTTGTTCTTGCTTTGAGTTTGTCATACCTTTTTGGGCTGCCAGATTGACCTGGGGACATGTAAAGTTCCCCCCCCCCCGGTAAGGCCTTGACATCTGACCGTTCAGCCTGGAGGCAGGCGGTGCATCACAGCCTCTGCCAATTTGAAGAGACCCTTGTCCAGCAGGCCGAGGCAAAGAGGCAGTCCCAAACCCAGCAAAATCAGGGAGCTGGACAGGGGACAGATTGTATTTGTCTTCAGTGTGGAAGGGATGGTAACTCTCGAATTGGCCTTCTCAGCCACACTAGATGCTATTCCAAGTCCTCGATACAGCGCACATTACTATAGTCTCTCGAGACTGAAGGATGCCTAAGGTAAGGCCATGAAGTCCAACCTCCTGCTCAGTGCAGGAATACAACTCAAAGGTTATCTGCCAGGTGTCTAAATTTCTAATACAAGGCTTAAAACTCACATGCTACATCTGTATGCTGCAAACCCACCTTTACATCCTGACACTCGTAGACTTATACCTATTATCCAGTCCTTCTGTAATCTAATTCCTCTGTAACGGTGCTCGGTTGGAGAAAGCTGACTTAAATATATGGTGTTTACTGCTGGCTTCTACACCACTGTCGGGCTTTTCCTCCATGGCAATCAGGGAATCATGGCTGTGCTGCTTTGAAAATTTATCTTCAAAGACCTGGTTGAAATTACATCCTTTCTATTCATTACAGTGCCAGATTTATGCTCAAGCTAATTAACATTTAGGACCTTAGATTATGGGCAGCCTCTGAATTAGCACAACCAGATGAAAAATAGGATAGAAATTCTGTACCCTTGATGGTTGCTCAGAAGGGGAAATGTTAGCAGGTGCAGCTTTTCATGAAAGCTACAGCTGGGGACACTTCCTCCTTCCACTAGGACTGCAAACACAACAGCTACCTCCTCTTTTTAAAAAATCTGATGAACCTCCTCTAAATACCCTTTCCCCCTGAAAATAAGATCTATCCTGAAAATAAGCCCTAGTATGATTTTTCAGGATGCTCGTAATATAACCCCTACCCCAAAAACAAGCCGAAACCCTACCCTCCATCATTGTGCAGCAACCAGAAGAAGACGACATGACTGCATTTGAATCAATGTAGATTGTGGTACATGAAAATAAAATAAAACATCCTCTGAAAATAAGCCCTAATGGGTTTTTTTGAAGCAAAAATTAATATAAGACCCAGTCTTATTTTCGGGAAAATATTTTGATACAGTTGAGTTGTACATTTTCAAAAAGCTTGTAAGAAGAAGTGAGCATACTGGGAAGTTTCACCTGTATTGCTGCCTTTCCCAGTCTTAGTTTTTTCTTTTTCTTCGCTGCAGTCTCCATTTCGGTTGATGATTGAATCAATGTATATAAAACCTCTATTTCGATTTCTTCATTGCAAGTGCTAAAGCTATGTAGTTCTTCTGTAATCATTTGAGTCTTCTTAACATTCATCCTTTTGTTGAATTGTTCCCGTTATACATTCTCCTTAACAATTGGAGGGACTCCTTTTTATCCATTTCCTAAATTTGTGCAAATCTAACTTTGGGGACTAAAACATATCAAGGAGATGTAAACCTAGGTTATACAATATATTGATTATGGACCCTCTTTGTAAAATTTTCATGTTTAGATATATGCACATATATGCTTTTAATAAACTTACAATAGCATTGCCTACAGCTTCCGATGTTCCATAGTAAAGTTAATTATTGTGCTATTGCACTTTCCACTTCCAAAAGATCTGTCCACTGACAACCATCTTCAGCTATTCTGAATATTTAAGGATATTCACATTGTAATATTTTTTAAAAGGGGATATGCAATTACATTCATGCTACTCACCACGTGCTTAAAGTGATCCTTCTCAGTCAATGCCGAATGCAACTACAGAGAACTTTCAGTGAATAGCACCTACCCTCTGTTGTTTCCCCAAAAGATTGTAACTGGCTGGTTTGTGTCATGTATGAGGAAGTTGGTAGCAGGCCAAAACTACTGAAGCTTACAAATGCTTGTTGTCCTGGCAATTTATTAAGAAAATCTTTTTCTTAAAGAGAAAGCATTTTATTTCTTCAGGAGGCAGTCCTACACACACTACCCTGTGAGTTCTACCACTGCACTCAAAGAAGTTTACTTATAAATAGACCTAGTATTCCATGTGAAACATAATAATAATACTGGTGTGTTATCAGTCAATTCTGACTTGTGGCAACCCTTTAAAGCAGCGGTCCCCAATGTTTTCGGGACCGCGGACCAGTTGGGGGGGTGCAGGCTCCATGCATGGGGGCGGGGCACCCCTGCGCTCGCAGGTGGACACGTCATGCTCCCGGGTAGGTGTGTTGCACTCACAGAAGGGTGTGTCGTGCTTGCGGGTGGGCATGTCACACTCACGGAGGGGTGCGTTGCAACACACCCATCCACAAGCACGACACATCCACCGTGTGTGTGTGCGGGTGGGGCAGAGATCTGTCTCTGCAACCCAGTTCCAGGAAGCCCACGGACCGGCACTGGGCCACGGACCAGGGGTTGGGAAGCCCTGCTTTAAAGAGTTTTTTTAGGTAGAGAGTACTAAGAAATGATTTACCATTCCCTTCCTCTGGGGGGAGCCCTGGGACTGTGCAGCTCGCCCAAGGCCACACAGGCTGGCTCTTCCCCTAGGAGGAACAGTGGGGAATTGAACTCCCAACCTCTGGTTCTTATCTAGCTTATTGAGCTATCCGGCCAGCTGTTCCCCATCACGTAGACTATAATGGGAGGAGGGGATCAAAAGTGTCTCCTTACAACTGAACATGATTAGGACTGAATTCTAAAACATTTATTGCACCTCTCACCGTCCTCTGATGGTCTCTTATTTTTTACAGAGTTTTCTCCCCATGAAAAAAAACCCATAAACATTTTTTCCCTATCAGTTTCCTTCACTGTCCAGATTTCATACCTTGGAATCTGGAACACCATAGTACAGATGAAGGTCACTTTGATCTCCAGTGACACATCCTTGTCCTTGATGGTCATTTTTAGTTCTTTCATAGCTCTCCTTCAAAGTCTCAGTCTTTTTCTGGCTTCTTGGCTGGAGTCTCAATTCGGATAGATGATTGAACCAAGGTACAGGAAATCTTTCAAGCATTCAAGTTATATAATGCTTCTGTCTTCTTAGTAATAACTACACTCCTGTTTCTTGCACTTTTAGCAGGAGGACTCAATAGAGGAGGCCACAGCCTTGCGTTTGCAAGAGTTGAGTAGGGCTGCTTTCAAAAGGCCCTTTTGGAGATCATCTTTTTGCTGGGAAAATTGCAAACCTGCATGATGAAACACTGAGTCTCTGGGGAAAGGGGCGTGTCCCCCCCCATCTTGCTACTGGTTTGACAGATAAGATTTTTTCCTGCGTCTGTCACTGGTCCAACATCTTCTTCCTGTTTGTTTGGGGTTCCCATGTTAGTTGATTGGTGGAAAGGGGGACAAACATCTTTTGAGAAACAAGCATAGAGTCTCCATCCATGCCAGAATCTCAACTTTGCCTTCTGATTGTAACCAAAGCGGGTAACTGTAAGTAAATATAATTTCTCTCTTCTCAAGATGCATATAGATTAACCGTTCGTATTACAAAAGGACTAGACTGTGTCCCATGAGAGGGTTAGTGAAACTGGGCCAAATCTCTTAGGTTTGTTGGTTTTCTGCATTGTGCTCTACTAACAAAAGGAGTCACCAAGTTCCTAATATATGTAAGTATTAAACGTTTTTATTGCCAAACCTCAGTACTTTTTATTGTTGGCAGTTTGTGGTTAGTCGATGCTTCCTTCTTGGAAAAGTGTTTGCCAAATGTCCTATTTTTCTTCCCTCTTTTGTCGTGTCATCTCGCTCTTGTAGTCACAAAGGACATGTGGACTGGACTTGGCTTGAGCAAAATACAGTAGTGTCTGTAGCCTACTAGCAGAAGAGCAGATATATTTCAAAGAAAAAAGGCCCATTGGAGGAGGCGACAGGACAATATGTGATAGTCCCAACCTCAGAGAAGAAACCTCAGGTAGCAATCCAGTGAGAGCAAAATGGGTAACCTGCAACATACTCTTTGGGCAAAGGAAAACACTCTGAAGGATGTTTCTTCTTCTGTGGGTATTCTTTAAAAGTATTATGCCTCATCATAGATGCAATCTCACAAATTCAGGGGAAAGCATCCATTCACCGCAGTACTCCATCTGGCACGTTCAGGGTGCTTGACGCTGGCTGGAGTATCTGTCCCATGAGAAGCAGAGGAGGGAGACTAAGAGGAAGACAATCAAGCAGAAACAATTGCAAATGGAGGTGCTGACCCCAGAGCTTTGTCATTGTTATATGCCCTCAAGTCAGAACCAATTTATAGTGGCTTTAAAAGGGTTTTCAAGGTATGTGAGATATCTGAGTAGCTTTATCTGTTCCACATCCCTCCGTGAGTTTCCACGGTGAAGTGGAGGTTCAAAACCTAGGCCTCAGAGTCCTAGTCTGTCCACCACCGCACGCTGGGTATCATTACGTTTATCCTTCAGAGCTAGGTGTAGCTAAAAACATATGCTTGGCAACCAGGGGATGTCTAGAGGCAGAAAGAAAGGAAACGGTGGACTTAGAGGCTGAGAAGGTTAGCCTCCAAGACTGAATTAATCAATTACTCCAGGGGTGAGCAATTAATTTCTATAGGGGGGGGGCACATGAAAAATCTAAACTGTGTTTGGGGGCCGAACCAACTTTACTTAAAAATAAAACAAAACAGTGATGTTATGATTATTTTTATTTTAAACTTGTTAATCTTCATAAATACTAAAGAAGTTTTTTTGCATCATGGGCGTGTCTAAGTTGCATTGGCCATGTAACCATGGAAGATTGTCTTCGGACAAACGCTGGCTCTATGGCTTGGAAACGGGGTCGAACACGACTGGACAAAAATTGTCAAGGGGAACCTTTACCTTTACATTTACCTACCAGTTCCACATCCCTCAGTGAGTTTCCACGGTGAAGTGGAGGTTCAAAACCTAGGCCTCAGAGTCCTAGTCTGTCCACCACCGCACGCTGGGTATCATTACGTTTATCCTTCAGAGCCAGGTGTAGCTAAAAACATATGCTTGGCAACCAGGGGGTGTCTAGAGGAAGGAAGAAAGGAAACGGTGGACTTAGAGGCTGAGATGGTTAGCCTCCAAGACTGAATTCATCAATTACTCAGATGCAAAGCTGTCATTCCAGGGTCCGATGAACATTTGAAGGAGGGAGGATTCATCACTTGCAGCCAGGTAAGGAAGAAGTCCAGTTTTTCTGTGACACTTTGGACTGAGCTCCAGACCCAGGTTGTGGCATCACTGAACCTGAAAGGTCAAGGGGTCACAGTAGAGGAGCCACCCACAAGAACAGCAAGGGGTCCAAGTCCCCTGGCCCAGAGGGATCCCGCTGGGGAAGTACATGCAGTGGAGCAACTGGTTCTCAGATGTCCTTGGACTACAGCTCCCAGAAATCCTGGTCGTCGCAGCTCGTGGTGAAGGCTCCTGGGAGTTTTCATCCAAGAACATGTGGCACTCAAGGTTGAGAACCATTGAGCGAGTGGAACCATAGCCGGCAGGCAGCTCTAATAAGGGGGTAGAGCAGCAATTAATTTCTGGACTTATTCCCATGGAAAGGAGCTGCCTTCCTCAACTTGTTCCATTGTGTGCTTTGTTTTGCTTTGTTGCTGCTCCCCTTTTCTTCCTTGTTTCTCTTTGTGTGTCGTGAACGAAAATGACTCACCTGGATTCACCTGGCTGTGATTTACAATAAAAGGTTGCTAAGATCTAAAGAGTCAGGCTGCAGAGGTTAGCAACCAGAACTCAGGATATAAGGAAAGGAATACAAAGAAAGAGGGAGGGAGATGTTGGTAACAGAGGTCTGACAGTTAATATGAATCTTATCAGAAGCATTCCCCATACAGGCCCCTAAGAAAGGTCCGAGAACACAGGCAGCCATGTTGATCCAGATAAACAAATCTGTTCCAGCAGTTTTTGTCTGCATCAGGAGCAGGTGTTTTGTAAACAGAAGGAGTCTTGATTCCGTAGTTTAGACTAACCTGCTTGAGAACACAAAATATTATACCCAGGGGAGCTTGTAATAATTCATTGTCCGAAATCCCTTTGCATTGTGTGGTAAGAAAGTTTTTAATGTTTACCTGTTCTTAATTATTCAATTGAATTTTAATGAGTGTGTAGTTCATTGTTTTAAATGTTGAGCTTATGTTTTTAATGTCATTCTTTTAATATTGTGAGCTGCCTTAGGTCCCCTTTGTGAAAACCCAATATGTTTCCCGACCTTGCATATTTTGAAATATATATTTGGCTAAAAGTTTTAAATTCTCAGCAGAGGGAAAAGGAAAAACTTAGAATAAACCTGACTTTTTCACTGTTTGATTGTTCTCCTGGCTCAGTAAGAAAGTATGGGTGCACAGGAAATGCCTAGCTGGGTTCTGGAGACTGTTAGATAAGCTCCAAACAGCTTCTTCCACCCTCTCTTATCTTATTGAACCGTGTTTTGGCCATGTGTCTATTGAAATGAAGTTTATCTTGGGTAGCCACTGGTTATTAGGGCATAGACCACTTTTAACCAATAACGAAATGCATGAAGCCACGCTTGGCATTCTACTGAGGGCGTACCAGCTTCAAGCCACAGACTGGCTGAAGAGTCGCATCTTGGGATGGCAAATAAGGATTGCAACGGAGAGGTTAAAACCATTAATCCAAACAGCGATACCATACAACAGCTGCACAAGGATGTTATACTTGATTATACGTAAGGCCACAGGAATCAGCTCCCCACCCTGGTTATAGTGAAATTGTCTAAGTAGTTTGTTTGTGTTATTGGCCACCTGTACTGCTGATTGTCTGTGGCAGGACCAGGAGAGGGAACGTGAAAAAGTTATTCCCAGGTATTTGAATTTTTTAACCTGTTCTATCCACTGACCCTCAATAACTCAGTCTTTGGTTTTACTGTTTCTAGAGAAGGCCATTAT